TGACCATTCACCCCGCCCCCCTTTCAAGAGGGAACAAGGGGGGGGGGGGGGGGGGTATCTCGCCCCGTGGACCCTCGAGCATGCCGCTGCAGAGCACGGGTGTTGTGTCAGCGTGTCGGCGCGTGGCGGAGATAGAGAAATCGGTTTTCTTGTCCCAAACGAATCCAAGGTTTTCTCCGTTCCTCTCTGCGCCACCGGGGGCAGTAGCGGCACCAGTTTTTAGCAATTCGCCGGCACGCCCGTTTCCCCGTCGCGTGTCTCAAGTTCCCGACATCGTGTTGCCTGGCCCTTGCCGTTGCTTGTCCCCACGTTCGGGGCAGTTCCACGGGCGGGAGTACTCTTGCGAGAACGCCACGGGCAAGGGGCTGTCAGGCCTGGACGCGTGCGCGACGAACGGGTCCGGCACGGTCACAGGACAGGACATCCTGGACGAGTTCGGGTGAGAGCGGGGGCCACTAGAAGATTGTGGGCGGGGGGGGGGTGCTCGTAGTTGTGCATGCCGTAGTCGTTAGACCATTCACCTCGCAACCCTACAAAGCCGGGACGGAGCACGCCGGGTTCTCACCGGACCAGGCTCTCACATCACCAAGCGCGAAGCGCCGTGAGGTATTCGACGAGTTGCGTGAAGGGTGCGCTGCATCCTGCTAAGGGTGTTCGGCATCTTGTGCTTACTTCCTTGCGTACGGATGACAGCTGCGTATGACTTAATTTATTTTCTGGTGCTTTCACTTCCAGAGACAGTCGTAAGCACTGTGTAACTGCCTCGAGGATGATTGACCATTTTCACACAACGTGGTGCGATCATCCCCCGTTGCGCGGAGTGAGGGTTCTCCACCCCGCACAACATAATCTACTCGACCACCATTTTGGTTACCGCCAAAAAAAAAAACCGAGGTAAAAAAAAAAAACGGTAACCTGGTTGCCGAGTTCACCAAGTGAATTGGCTTGTTTAACAACGTCGTTGCCAAGCGACGAAAACCCAATCCCGATGGCAAACACCGAGGGGGGGCTTGTTTTACAACGTCTTTGCCAAGCGACGAAAACCCAACCCCGATGGCAAACACCGGGGGGGGGGGTTGTGGGCGGGGGGTTGTCATTTCTGATGACCATACCAATGAACAAACACCACACCCGTTAGTCCAAGCTATTTGCTTTGAGAGTAGACACCGAATTCGGTGAACGTCTAGCACGGTGAGTACCACACCGCGGGGCTGTCGTGTGTCTCATGTAACTTCACACCCAAGTCTTCTTGACACTTAAAAATACCAATATTTTTACCCGTCAGATTACTTTACGTTGAAGTATGTCTTCACCGCCCGTGCTGCAGGCGGTGCAAGTCGAAAAAACATAAGGTACCCCACTCGCCCCAGCAGTTCACGGTATTTATGATGCAATGACTACGGGAATTCACCAACTCACCACTCGGACTACTCCCGCACGCGCTAACCACTCGATCTCCCTCCCCCCTCGCATATCAACTTTTTCCTCCAGATTCTCGAACGTGAACGTTTGGCAAAACGTCGGCATCCTCGCAGCGATGATCGTCGGCATGAGGTTCCTGACGTACCTTTTGATGCGGAGATTCACAAAGACGAGGACATGAACGCCGCGTATGTTAATAATGCCGGTATTTTGTCAAATATGGTAGGCGGAGGCTGGCTTTGGGGCGAACGTCCCGCGCTGCTCGGTGTTGTGCCTGTGATAAAATATCGGGTGTCCGCTGCCGTTACAGAATGAATAGAAAAAATAACTCGTGGTAACTTTAAGGTGTTCTCTATGGGTGTTTTGAAAGCGAAATGATGTCGTTGATGGACCTAGGCAGAGTGGGGTTCGGTAGGGCGGGGTTGGATGCGAGCCAGCTTGGTTCGCCGGTGGCAGTCAAAGGGGGCGAAAGGCTTCCGGGACGCTGAACTTGCGGAAGGAAGCGGCCTGCGGGTGCGAGGGTTGTACGATAGGTTTGTGGGTAGGAAAAACGTGGCCATCAAACAACGCAGGGGTCATCAACTTTGTCTCTCTCTTTGTCGACATTGTGAGGAGCACGCTGTTCCTTGATTGTGAGGTGATTTGTGCAGCTTGGTGGTACAGGGCCAGGCAGAAATGGCAGTGGGTGGCGGCGGCAGTGAACCCTGCAGCGGCAAAGCAGGTGGATGTGGCTTCCTTGTCTTTTGTTGGGGATGTAAACATGCATGTGGGGGAAGGCACCTACAAATAGGTCCCTATCCTGGAGCTCGTTGTAGAGATTTCATATTTTGTTTCGATTTTTGAGGACAATACTATAGGACGGTATGCATGTGTTGGCACAGTTCAGGTCTTCGTCTCGAAGACCAGTCATTGGTTGGGGATGCACGTTATTGAGACTCGTGTGAACAATCTTCGAGTGGGAGCGTAGCTGCTGCAAGCGTACACCCTTCGTGCAACGTTGGTGCCAAAGTCACGAACAAGTTTTTGGAGAAAACCGCGTCTGTCTCTTCTCGGTCTTCTCTTGTCACCGAAGTGATTTCGTGCTTCGATTTTCGCGACCCCCTCGATGACACACCGAAGCTCCACGCAATTTTTGAGCCGCCCCCCGACGGCCTGAGCAACCAAGCGGCCATCGCATCGCCCGTGTCGCATGACGGTACGCTCCATCAGTACGTTCAATGCGGTGTTGTGCTTGCGTGTGTTCATGGAGAGCCAAGGCAACCGAAACTAAAACACTTCATGCAGTGTTTTTTTCATTTAGTTTGTCTATTTTGCAAGTAACTTGCGTGGGTGGATGGTTTTTCATGTGTCAGCGTGCAGCGGGGGCGAGAGCCTTGACGGCGGCACCTGGGACGGAATATTCCAGGTGTGGGGGGGTAAACTTGTGTACTTAGTTTTAGAACGTGTCACCTGTGCCTTGGTAGTATCTTGAGCCCCCCACGCATTCGTAGGTCAAGTCTATGCGGGGAACCGGCACGGCTGGTGCGATCCCGGCGAAACACCCCGGTCTACGGTGGTAGTTACGATAGAATCATGTGAGTTTTCTGTCTTGATCGGCGATCTTGGGTTGTTTTTGATTGGTTAATATTCATGTATTGCTTGGCCTCGTGTCTCGCGGGAGCGGTGATGGGCTCTGTGTACGATCTCCTTTGTCTGGCTGTTTCGGGCACTATTTATGTTGTACTCTTACCGCGTTTGTGTTGATTTGTCTGCGTCCGTTGTTATCTCTCCCAGATAGTTCTTCGGTACCGTCTCATGGGTCTGTAGTTAGTCAGCGACCACATAATGTCTCCGTCAGTTGGTATCGATGCTATACGGTGCTGAGCTGAGGTAGACGGGTGATAAAAATATGACAACAGGAACAATAACAACGTACGGCCATCTCATGAGGCGGTTATGCACACACTACCGCGCTCTGTGAGCCCGATACGTGGGAGGATGGACAGAGCAGACAGCTTCCAACAACGGTGAAAAGGGCTGATACAGCCGCTCATCTCGTCCGCGTTGCCTGTGACGATTTGGGGGCAACAGTCAGGGCGCGTTTGTTGTGCTTGACACCCTCGAGGCAGTTACACAGTGCTTACGACTGTCTCTGGAAGATAAATCGCCAGAAAATAAATAAACTCATTCGCAGCTGTCATCCGTATGCAAACAAGTAAGCACAAGACGCCGAACACCCTTAGCAGGATGCAGCGCACCCTCCATGCGACTCGCCGAATACCTCACTTCGCGCTTGGTGATGTGCTAGCCTGGTCCGGTGAAAATCCGGGGTGCTCCGTCCCGGCTTTGTAGGGTTGCGAGGTCAATGGTCTAACGACTACGGCATGACGACCATGAGTACACCCCTAATGGCAATGATTTCACATGTCCTCCGTGCGACCTGGCGTACGTGAACAGGAGACCTGCAGAGATGTTCCTCGTTGAGAGTGAGAAAGGAAGACATTTTTCGCGTGCTCCGTCACGTTACCATGGGGGGGGTGAGGATTTTCCCAACCTCAGTGATAGGCAGGCGCTAAAAACAATTGTGGGGCTCCACCGTCCAAAAGCACATTCACCAATTATTGTTTATTGCTCAGAAATGCTTGCGAATCACCCCGGTTTATTGGCGGCGGACGGGTGATTCCCAGCACCTCAACTGCCAACCTTGCACAAACACTGTCTCTTCTCTTTATCACAAGCACGCAAACGGGGAACCACGACCAGGACACAACACGCGATAAGGTTGGGATAGTCAGACACCCAATAACTTGCCCGCACCCCGACTGCACTGAGAACAAGATGTCCACAAAAACAATGTATTTTCGATCCGTTTCCCCTGAAGGCTTATTCGAAAGTTATTGACGGACGGACAGACAGGCCACCAAGACACCATTTTTCGTGGTGGTCACCCGTGTGGGTCCGCCAATGCTACCCTACGTTCTGGCCACGCACTCCCATAACTTCCCAACACGCCCTTCCGCGTGACCGTACTCCAGCCCCACGTGTTCTCTCTTACAGAACGCGGGAGTGGATGAGTCGACCATCGTTTTCATGATCAAGGGTCCCCGGTGACATTGTCACAAATTACTAAATCCTCTTCCCGGTACACAACAAAACCGCCGGTATCTTCGTCTACGGCCACTCTACTCTTCTCTCCAGAAACACTCAATACTTCGGTCTGCGAGGTGATTGACCAACGATCGCCACCGCCGACAAAATGCCCCTGAACAATATACTCCACCAGAAACACTACGCGTGAACAGTCTATAAACAGTGGAAGAGCAGCGTGCCCCCTTCTGCGTCGACTCATGGCGGTGCGCTCCCTCGCTATCTCTACCAGTCCAGAGGCTCCGCTCTACCCAGGTCAGGTCTCACGATCCGCGCGCTCCCGATTAGTCTCTCAGGCAGCTCGTCTTCGGATTCCCCCTGGCACGATATCATGTGGCACGATCGGGGACCAACAATTGGTGCGGGTTAATTTAGGGAGAAAACACGCAACAATCTATTGATATTTGCCCCAAGCTGCTGTGGTCTCTCACGGTGCAAGCTAAGTAGCGCTGTACAATCGAGCAACATTGAGGGGGGGGTTGAAATTGTGCCTTCCCCCGTCTTGCTTCTTTCGCCGACCTGAAGAGTGGGTAAGGTGTGGATGGAGCTAGGAGCTGCACGTTCGCGCCTGACATTGATGAAGTGACGTAAGATAATAGGACAAGAGGAACACACAATGAGGAGCGAACCGAGCAAAATCTCTCCGAGATTTTCACGTGACTGTGCACCATCTAGAACGTGCAACACACGGCAACCAGCGGATGACGCAGAGCGAGAGAGGCGCTCGATGTGGAGAGACACGAGAGATTCCTGCAGACATCCTTCCCGCTGCACCAACCAGCTCCGCGACCAAGGCAACGCTGCAACACTATTTTAAACGACCATATCGACACCAAAACGTACACGGCAATACGTGACACTATCTATCCGTGGTTGGGAGGTATAATCCCGGCGAGTTGTTTATTCCGTATTCCGTGCCCCAAGAGTCGAAAGCGCTCGTTCGTGAGCAAACTTGGGTAACAAATGGCTGCCGTTCTTTTGTTGGGAGAAAAAATGAAAGCACGCATGCACCGCAGAGGCGATCTTCGTTCACCCCCGTCGAAACCCTGAAGTTCGAGAGGTGGCCGTAGGGCAGGTAGAACTGCAAGCGACGGTAGCGTATGGGATATATCACATAAAAAAAATTCGGTCAACACCATCCTGTGGCAGACTATGTAGCCTCGAAACCTGAAACAGTGTAAATCAGGCCCCGTCGTGGCCAAACACACCGAAAGGCCGAACGCCAGTCGACGAGGGCGGGGAAATTTCGCAGTACATATCCACGCAGAACAAAAAACAAAACTGGTACATTCGAACCGAGGCCCAAAGGAGATTCTCTTGCCCTCTCCATCAACACGGCAGTGTCGTGTGTTAGGGCTGGCGAACGAACCTGAAGGGCGAAGGCCAGGTCTAGCACGAGGTTCTTGGCGTAGCCGCCGGCGAGGTGGGTGGCATTGCTAGCCAGGGTGCTCGACCCCACGTCGATGTCCACCTCGAAGTATCCGGGCCTAACGTTCGCTCATTCAGTAGCGAAGAGGAGATGGTTGGTAGAATCACGAGATGGAAGGGGGAATGGTAGGGAGGCGAGCCCGACCACGGCTACTCGATGAGCAACAAGGCTGGACGGAGGTCACAACATTGAGCGAATTTGTCTCGCATTGCTCGGTACGATGCTAGAGGCCTGCCATCCCGTCTTCGCGTCCTTACACTCAGGGTTCGTTCGGATGTCGATTTTCACGTCAACTTGAGGCATCACAGCGGCGCCCACCCATAAAATGAAACGCAAAAGTTGCGTTCAATGCACGCCGCGCACCGGCTCTGCAAGAGACGTCGCTACACCGTATCCAATCCCAACACCAAGAAGGGGAGCACAGCGCGGCTGCCCCGCCAAACTGTCTCACGCGAGGCGGCCGAAGCCATGCAAACACCGCTACAACGCACCAGCCCCACAGGCACACCATGCACTTGCATGACAGTGGGCAATCGTGTTGCCGCGGCACTTCGTGTTGTGCTCTTCTGGCAACACCCGGTTCCCCCTCCTGCCGGAGGCCTACCGAAAGCCCACCGAAAAACACTCAATCCGTCGTTGTGGGGATCAACACGCGCACGTGCAGTGCTCTGCTTCAGCCAGAACAAAACACATGGCCGCGCACGACAAGCCTTGCTCACCTCCGGAAGTATCTCGCCGTCAGCTTCTTCCCGATGACGCACGGCTTGCCGACGGCCTTCCGCACGACCCACGGCCCTTCCAATACCTTCGGGAACAGCTTCAGTCGGCGGTTTCGGATGTCGTTGAGCGGAAGCCCTCCCTCCAAGTCCAGGGAAATGTACCTTATTTTCGACAGTGCAGTCGACCGATACAAACGAGGGGAGAGAGGAGGGACCGATTTTGCTTGCCATGTACCATGGTAAGCTTTTTACACGCACCATTTAGTTCTTGCCTGGGGTACAGCCTGTTCGCCACCAACACGAACCAGCAAGCACCATTACACTCCTTATCGAGACACCTTACATATCTGGGGTCCAACCATGAGAAACAGTCATGAAAAAAACAATACTGCTGTCTCCATATCCGTGGCGCCTTTCCTCTATCGCAGAGATCCGAGCAACACTCGCAATGAAGACAAGCGACCACGGATGAGCAGGCCAATGCACAGCTCGAATAGAATGCGACCTTTCGCAGTCCCAAGGGCATAAGACTGCCATACCACAACCCAACAAAAACTCCAGGTCACAATTCGGAAGGCCTTGATCGACCACCAAATTGGGGGACGTGTTTCGGCGACTTAAGTCGAGGGCTCGTTGTAGGGGCAACCAACGATTCTCGTGTGCGGACACAACGCGGTCCAGGGATCAATGTAGGAACGCCCTTTTTTCTCGGGGACAAGACAGACCAACGGCCAGGGGAGAGCACCAAGCTAAAAGGGGGCGACGCGAATACCCGACTGTCCCCACCCCACCACCTATGACACCGTCTGTGGTGCCACGTTAAGGAGGCAGGTGGCAAGGAAGGCTGTGCACGGGTGATGGGACCATTCAGGAGGTGCAAACATGAGGACACAGGCTTCCCTCGATAGACACGAGACCGAGGTCGTGGTAGTCTTCTCATTTTAAACGTTTTCCAATAGCAATTAAACGTTTTCCGATAGCAGACGACTGCTAGATCGCCAAGAACTCGAAAAAAAGGGTGCTCAACAGTGCTGGAAATGAGCCCTTACCTCGTGAAAAGCCTGAGAAAGTTGCTGTCCTCTGGAGAAAGCCTGCCCGCTTTGTCCGCTTCCATCGCCTCCTTCAGACGCATCCCCCAGCACAGCACCACGCTGTGGGCCCGGTCCCCGGGCATCTGGTAAAAAAACACAAGACATATATGAAGAGGAGAAAAAACCCATTAGAAATCATTAGGGATTGGTGTTGGATATGAATAGGAGGAGAAAAAAATCATTAGAAATTATTAGGCATTGGTGTTGGCTCCTGCTTCCATTGTCCATGTCCATGACACCTCTCGATATGCACATGGGATGATGTATTTCTCATCAGAAACACCATGGTGTCGGTTCCTAGTCGCTGTGCATGTTCGATAACACTTCAAAGCACCACGTATCATCCATGCCAAACAAATTGCTAAACCCAGCAACGGATCAGAGGATATCTTTCTGATCAGAAATTGGTGTTGGTGCTGCCTCCTTTGTACCTTTTGATGACACCTTAAAGCAATACATATTCACCCATACTAAAAGGAGGGAAAACCAGCGTGGATACTGCCCACAACACAAACATATGCCGAGGAGAACCACAAAAACAAAGCCAGAACACCAAAGCGATGTAGAGCAAAACAACAAAAGGAACATCGATACAGTTGGCACTGCCGCTGCCGTCTGGTGTGGCTGAACTCGCCCCCCCTGCCTTGAGATATACCAACCTGGATGTTCACAATGAAGAGAAACGGCGGGTTGGGCCCCGACTGAAAAAAGGCCACCCTGTCCTTCATCCGCCCGTGAGCGCAGATGTGGTCAACCCGGAACAGATGGTGTCTGGATGAAGAACGAAATGCGCACAATGACACCGAAGGGCTTTGGGTGGGAAGGGCGCAGGCGCAAAACACGCGGGGCTTGCGTAGGGGAGACGTACAATGCAGGTAAACCGCTTGGTTACGTACAACATGGAATGTAGGCGGGGCGGGGGTACCCGTGTGTGCGGGCGTCGTTCAAAAAGCAGCCCCCCAACCGTGCCAACTGGCCGGCCAATGAAAATATGCCGTTCTAGTTGGCATACAGGCGCATACAGCAAACGTCATGTGGGGGGTGTTTTCTTCCTTCGGAAAAGCAAAACCGTTCACTCGTTCTTGCTCTTTCGGGGGTTCATCTTGTGAACTGCACGTTGGAGAAGTCGTTGCTGGGATCCCGTTTATGATTTTGGTTGCGCTTACTTGTCCTCGTCCTCCCGAAACTCCTTGCTAACGCACACTCGAAATCTGATCAATCATTCTTGAAGGGATTCGTTCTCGTCTTCGAAAACAACCAAGCCACGCTGTAACTGTAAAATTCTTGAGTTCGCAAATTTTCGTCTTCGAAAACAACGGAATCGCCGAAATTCTGTCCACAAAACAGTGTACAACTGCTGTATGGGTAGCGAGAAAGCTTTTCGGTGAAAGAAATCGTAACTGCCCTCCCTCACTTTGCCCCGTCCACCCGAAACAGATCCGCGCGGACCAGGGTGCCGAAGGACGGTCCAGCGGAGATCTTGCGGCGGTCCCTGAGGTAGCTCGACCCTCGCACACGAAGGCCATGCATGTGCCCTGCCAAAGATGCATCCGAAAAAAAACGAAGGTACATACGGCAGCAGGGGTCCCCGAATAAGGCGGTCGCCCTATGTAAGGCGGGTGAAGTTGAAGCGGCTGCCGCATCTGAACGGTCGTTATCAGCTGCCCCCAACACCATCTTCGAGGACCCCCACTGTACATGGTTGGAACGGAACGGATATGTGTGTGTGTGTGCGGAGAGCAACCCTTCTGCCAGATGGGAAACAGAGACGGAAGGAGCAAGAATCACAAGAAAACCTCAGCGAAAACCACGCAAAAAGCCATCTCTCTCACGGCAAAATCCTTGCAACGAAGCGGCAGCGCACGGGTACTGCCGTCGTCTGCGTGTCCGGCACGTGATCGAACACCAGTCATCAACAGGTGAAAAATTCTTCCTCGCAGTACGTGGGAAGAAATTTCGGCTAAGAAAAGAGATGCCACCCAAGGAAGACCAAACACGGCGTAGCACATCGGTCGGGATAACCTCCACGAACGGAACCAACCGCTTCCCAATTAACAGCTGTCAGCGTTCTTGGCATCTCGTACCGGAGTCGATGAACACGCCCTCTAGTCCTGGAGATGTGATTGGATCGCCCCCCTGTGCTCCGCCTCCTGGTGGCACCACGAAAACCGCCGCGTCCTGCGCAGAAAAAGGAAAGTAAAAAGTACATGGTTTTCTCCCCCACTCACATTAAGTGATCGCGTTTGAATTGTAGTTGGCCCTGTAAAGTGCCGGTATGTGTCAAAAGATTTTATCGGCACAATACCGGACCACCGGCACCATTCAGAACAGGGATATATAGGTTTTAGTATGGAGTGGACACCCTTGTCGTGAGCTATGACAGGCACGACACCGGACTGTGGCACTATGCCCGACTGTGGCACTCTACAGGGCCCACTGCCATATTCTGAACAAAACGAAACAAACCAATAAAACAACACAACAGCAGTAACAATACCTACCGACAGCAGCATAGAGATCAAACAACCCACACATCGTGGCTGATAGCGGGGACCCTCGGCCACAAAACTACCAACAAAGGGACGAAAGGGACAGTGGAACACAGTTGCGAGGGAAGAAGCGCACTTTGCAGAGAGCACATGTGCCGAGGTAACGCCCCGGGGAAGACCGGTCGCATGTGCAGGCCGCGACGAAAACCAACAAATCAACGTAGTACAGTACACAGAAACAGCCACGGGGGTGGGGAATGTGGAAGGCAGAAAGGGTAAGTGAGCTGCGTTCTGCCAAATACCAAAGACCGAAATAACGAAAACAGTCCACTACCAACAGAACAACAAAGCCGCTTGCGCTCGTTCGTACCATTGCTGTGCCGCTGCTCCTCCGCCTAGCCGGTGGTGGCGCTTCTGTTGCCCCCGCCTGGTGCTGCTGCTCTGCCACCGCCGAACCCTCCACGGGTATCGCCTCCTTCTGCCCCCCCTGCTGGTCGTCTTCGCCTTCGCCTGTACCGCCGAGGGGGTTTAATTGTTGGTCGAATTCGTCCTCTTCGTCCTCCTCCTCGTCCTCCGAGGAATCATCGTCCTGTGGTGCACGTGTGAGGGCCGAATGCCATTGCCAAAAAAATCAAAAGGGGCGTAAGAGAGGAGTGAGCTAGAGATTGAGATGGAAGCAAGACGAGGAGAGAAAAAGAAACGGCGAAAACGTCCAAGCGGCCGAGAGGAAGAGACAAGGGTGGAGGCTGGTGATGGCCATCGCTTCCTATTCCTTTGCCGTTTTTGCACTCATCGGGTGAATCTGCGCCGCACATGGAGGCGTGAACGCCAACGGCTCGGACGCAAGAGGAGGCAGCTCCAGCAGCATGCACAGGTGAAACGTACGGATTGCTGTTTCTTGCGCCAACCATGTGAAGCCGAAGAGAGGTAAACCAAACTAATACACAGGCAGGGAGGCCAGGGACCCATCACATTGATGCAATACTTTTTTGACTCCCCGCAAAAAAACAATGCAGAAGAAAAGAGCGCTACTACCGGGTTCTGCGGTGAGTCGATATCGTAGTACATAGCTCAAGGCAAACCGAAAAGTGGGTCAGTACACGTGGACGCGTCCAAATGAAATAGAAACAGTTGTACGGAAAGGGCAGGAGAGAGGAAGTGGAAAGACTATGTACAATGCATCGCCCGCATGGTCTACAAATTTCGTCTCGAAAGGACAGCACCAAAGATCGTCTCAACGAGAAAGCGTCACCAGCGGCCACCACGACCACAACGTCAACAGCAACGGAAATTATCAAGCTCCGTTCACCTCAGGGTCCTCGTTGGCGCCAAGGTTGTCCGCAAGTAGGACGTCCATCTTTTTCAAGCGAACCACGCCCAACAGTACCTCAGGAAACTCATCGTCAGTTTCCCCCTGTGCATACAAGACAAGAAAAATTTTAAGAGGCCGAAACGATGAGGCGACGCAAGAACAGGCGAAGAAAATCAGTCGCAGATGCGGGCTCGTCTCAGCAACACGTGTTTTTATTATCGACGAAAGTACAATAACGCCATGAATCGAGCAAGAATGCGGGTAGAAAATCGCGTGATTCAAGCCCCAATGCGTTTGTCTTGTTTAAGTTTGGTTACAACACAGCATATCGACTTCATGTTGGTGGGGTTCGTCCACTTCACCCCCGCACACGCTCGACGAAAGACATCGACATCAGATCGATGGTTTGAGACACCTTGCAAACGCTGCGAGCAAATTCCATAAAATTATTTTGCACTACCACCTATCTCCATTGGGTCACGGCAAAGTCTACCCTGGAACAATACAATTGTTTCTCTAGACCACGCTCCCTCTCGCTGCCGTGTTGAGAGAGACTAGCGTTCGTGTTGATCTTCAAACCTAGCCCGGATTTTGCTGTCCCAGGTAGGTCTGTGCGTGGAACGCTTGCGTTTGACGGGAGAAAAAAACTTGATGTCTCCCGGAAAGGAGTCAACGTTGGTGGAATGACTCCAGTTGTGGAATGACACCGACGTTCATGAAATGAAGCACGTTGTGAAATGAAGACGAATTTTGTGGGATGAATGAAAGTCGGCCAATGCTTGCAGAATGAATTCCATGCTTGTGAAGTACAAGCAGCACTTCTGGAAAAAGACGTGTGTGTTGAATTAAGCAAATGTGTGTGACGTCAATGTTGCAAAGCCTGGCCGAAGTGTGTGCTCGACGAGCTGAAGGCATTCGGGGCCGACCACGGATCTACGAAAACCGATCCATGTTGTTTTGGAATCCCGGTGCCGAAAGACACGGCACCGAACATAGAGTGGACGGAAGCCGCGAAGGTGGAGGGGGGAGTACCCTGGCATGCGGCGGTGCTGCAGGGAGCTGAGAGGTTCATGACCTCCTGGCACAAGAAGGAAGAAGAGGCCAGCCGACAAAGAGCGCTCAAACGAGGCCACAAGCCAACAACCAATGGGGCGGGAAGGGGGCAGCAGACGAACGAGACGGCGAGGGAAGAAACCAAACGAGACGAGACAGACCGAGTGGCGCGATACGTGCCAGATTGCTTTTTCTTTTAGCCAATCCCCCCCCCCCAGCGATGCACCATTGCACCAACCCCCTAAGAGTGATAACGTACCATTACAATGTATCGCTGGTTGGTGGCCATATTTGCGTGTTTCCTTGTGCGTTAGTGGTCTGTCCACCGTGTGACTTTTTCTGTCTCTTTTCGTGTTACTTTCGTCCTGGTCCCTTTTTGCCCTCGCTCTTTTCGTTTTCTTTTTCTCTCTCCTTCCTGTTTCGTTTTAGTTTTCTCTTTTTCTCTCTTTTTCTCTCTCTTTTTCTGTGTCAGATGGTCTTGTCTCTTCTTACGTTGTGAAGTATCAAGATTGCACCGAGGGGGTGTGCCTCTTTCTCTCTGGCCCGTGATGCCGACTCCTAGCCTCAGTTGTTACCTCGCATTGCGCTCAGAGGGAGCGGAGGACTCCAGAATATCTGTCGATGATTTCTATTGACTTGCGGACCCCTCGGGGCCAGTTTGTTTGAGCGTACCTTTTTAGGGTAAGTTAGCCTGTGAGCACGGGAATCGACCGCGTCAAGTGTTGGATCAGTGCGGACATATGAAGGTAATGGGTAGAGAGAGATCAGAACGGTTTTAATGTGGAGGCAACAACAACAACAACAACAACAACATTCGTGGAATGAAACCAATGGTCGCGCAATGACGTCCAAGCGTGGAAGGTTGGGTTTAGTAGAGTATCCTACTCAAGTATCAATTAAAAAATGCCTTCAATTATAAGCCTTCGACTACGTATGCCAAAAATGCTCATCCGTACCGTTAAGTAAATCCTTGAGCAAAGATTTCAAAATACTCCATCATACTCAGGAGAGTAAATCCTTCAGCAAGTAAAAGCGAAAAAACTCGACATTTAACTATGCAAGGCCTGAGCAAGCATTTCAAAACTACTCCACTACCCACCGGCTTGTCTGCATATATTTCTACAGTATCGAACTCGACAATGAAAAACGTGAAGTGAAGCCCGTACGTATGGAAATTAAGCCAACGCTTGCGAAATGAATGTGGTTGTGAAATGAATCCGAGGTTTTCGAGAAACTATGCCACAGTTTGGGAACTGAAAGCAGGGCTTGTGGAATGAAGCCACATGTTGTAGAATGAATCCAACGTTCGTGGAATGAAGTAAACGTGTGCGCGTTGCCTTTCACGTGCGACGAACCGGGGTTCCGAAATGGTGAAGCCAGCGCTCTTGGAATCAACCCAGGGACGAATGAAGCTAACTTGAGTGGAATGAATCCATGTGTACTCGTCGAATGAACCCATGTGTATGAAGCCGGATGTCTGCTGAATGAAGTCAACGTTGGTGGAGTGAAAACAGTGCTTGTGGAATGAAGCCAATGAGTGTGGAATGAATCCAATGTGTTTATGGAATGAACCCCATGTGTGCGGCGAAGCCTATACTCGCGGAATGAAGCAACAGTTTGTGAATTGCAGACAGCGCTTGTGGAATGCTGCCGATGTGTGTGGAATACAGCCGATGTGAAACCAGAGCCAAGGAATGAAAACAATGTACATGGAATGAAGTCAACGGTTGTCGAATGAGGCCAATGTTTGTGGAATGAATCCAATGTTTACGGAATGAAGGCGATGTGTGTACGAAACCAATGCTTGCAGAACGAAGCGATAGTTCGTGAATTGAAGACAGCGCTCGTGGAATTATGACGAGCTGTGCGGTATGCAACCGATGTGAAACGAGTGGTAGTGAAACGAAAACAATACATGCGGTTATGAAGTTGTGGAGTGAAGCCAGCGGGTGTGGGAAAAACGAGGACGGAAACTGAAGGGTGAAGTATATGTAGGGTTGAAATCTCCTAATACTTTTTGTGTTTGTGTTTGGTCTGTCATCCCACACCGCGTGCCGTCAGCGCCTCTCGGGCTACAACAGACGCAATAGACGCAGCCTTTTTCTATTTAAGCGATGGATAATCCTGCGTAACGGTGGAGCCTATCGACAAGCTTCAAACGTTGGATTGCCACCACCACAGACATGGCCGGATTGCATCCGAGACACCGGTCAGCCACATGCCACGGAAAAAGACAGCGAACTCGCCTCCAACTACGACGACGTAAACCTACGGCCTCGCCATCTTTAACCAACCACTGCGCAAGTACGCATCGAAGCGGTGGGGTCTGCATCCCCCTGTACCTCAGAGGAAAATAAACCGAGGGCCCCTCATGTCGAAAAAAACAGGCCACGGCACAACCGAAATGGCGGAAAATCACAGGTATGAACCCTAACGTCATGATGTTCCTTCCCCATCTCTGCTTTCAACTCACCTGGATACAGAAACCCATGTCAACGCAGAGGCTTTTCGCGTACCCGATGGCCAGGGAGACGGTGTTGTAGGCGACGACAGAGCTGCCAATGTCGATGTCGACCTCGAAGTAGGACCGCGTCCTGAAATACCGACACGTGAGCTGCACGAGCGGGTGAAGAGGCGGCAGCGGCGGCGGTTTCAGTGGACAACAGGTTACAGTACAGCGGTAGGGTGTGGCAGGCTGATATGAGGAAGACAGTCAGACGTAGGCCGCAAGTAAGCCATGACTAAGAATTGAGGGTGAAACTTCACGCACACCCAGGTCCGGCTGCAGCACTGATAAAAAGTGTGAAACGAAGTGACAGGAGGAGCACCCCTCTTGATACGAACCAGACACAAACCAGATGGCACGTACGCTAACCGGAGGCGAGACCCTGCCCTCTAGCCTCCTCCGCGGCTCCCCTCGACACGGGGACCCGCGGAGTAGATAACGTGTAATGTCCTTACCATTGTTAGGCCGACTTGTGAATATTAATGGGTCGACGACCAAAACAATTACTCGCCCCCACACCAATCTACACACGCAAAATTCAAAGCACACGCTTATCCCGCTACAAGACTGACTGGCGTATTATCATTCTCAGTGGTCAGTCGGTTAGCGCAGTCGATGCCAATAACGAAACACGCGCGCACACACAAACCTTCTGCGCGATGAGCGTCGGCTTGCTGCCAACCGCCTTGCGCACGATCCACGGTCCCTCCAGGATCGCCGGAAAGAGCTTGAACCTCATGTTCCGCAGATCGTCCCCGGGCAGGCGTCCTCCGCCCCCGGCATCTCCGATCCCCTCCCCCTCCTCGTCGTACTCGGAAACGCTGCCGTCTCCCTCGTCCGAGTTGTGCTTGGGGCCGAGATCGACGAAACGCCGAAACAGGTCCAGGAATCTGTGTCCGATGGGTTTGGGAGGTGTTGCTGGTTGGTGTGCTTTGGGAATTCGGGCGGTGATTGGTCAAAACGATAAGATGCGCTTGGCTTCGGGGGCGCTACGCGGTTGATAATGGTGAGAGCTGTGTGGTTATGCTGGCCGACTGAATACATGATCGTCGGTGTGTCCCCCCTCCCCGCGCTAGTCTGCACGACGCACTTCCGCCTCTGTGAATCAGGAATGCCATGGAGCTCCTCGCGGCTCCCAGGCCGTCGAGACACCTAAATGCTCGAACTCACAAGCCTTGCAATTCCCCCCAATAGCACGGACATGTCATGCCAATGCAAAAGGCCTCCAAACCCCTTTTTCCTACAGAAAACGTAACGCCCCTTTTCGAATAATTCCTCGTACGCGGGCGGCCGATCTCCCGACGCCGCCTGCCGCCCAGCCCAACCGAAAATTCCGACAAGATCTACCAAAAATCGATCCCCAAAAACAAATCTCGTGAAACCATGGCCAAGGCCATTTATAGGGGGGCAAAGGGCATAAATAGGGGTTAACCTCAACAAAAGCGTTATAACTGTATTCTGTATTCGCAAAAAATCGCTCTTGGAACTCGGCACTCACGCGGTCGTCTTCCCACCCGCTCCTTCCTCGGGCACGCCTCCCGGCGGCACCGGCACGGCGTAGTAGAGGACCATGCTCAGCGGCGGGTTTCCTGGCACCTGAACGACGATGACGGCAGCAACCAGAGACGTCGCTACCACCACACTCAATTAAATAAAGAAAAAGTGGCAAAAGGCCGGCGGGGTAACGCTTAGATAGGCTCGCAGCCATCAGGGTACGATGCCGTTGGTGTTTAGATAGGCTCGCAGCCATCAGGGTACGATGCCGTTGGTGCTTAGATAGGCTCGCAGCCATCAGGGTACACGATGTCGTCGGTCTGAATATTCAGTGCCGGGCGGGCCTTCCTCGGTCTCGTCGCTGATTACCATGGCTGAGACTCTTCGACATCTGCTGCCTTGTGCATTCCATTTTAATTTTGTCAGCCTCGTTGTTTCACGGGGGGCTCAATGGTGTGAGGCAGAGGCTGAAAAAAAACTTACAGCAAATGGAATGAAAAATGCCGTTCAATCTCAAAATTTACGAAGTAAAAAATGTGATACAACCAATATCACCTATCTTGGTGCCAAAAGGCTTCTTCGCAGCACACACGGACGTATATGCTCCTCACACGCTTGACGTGTCTGGCTCATACCCACATGATATAAGTGGCTTGTTTTCACCTGCAAGTTGACAATGACCAAGAACTGTCCCTTCTTGGCGAGGCGCCGGACAACCTTGGCAGACCGACCGACCGAGCCGATGTTGTCCATGCGGTCTATCCCTGCCTCCATCTGTCGAGGAAGTGGCAGAAAATCATCAGCAACAGGAGGGATAGCGGTACAAGAAAAACAGTGAGAGGGAGCGAATGCAACAGCAGCACACGTGGTTTTAAGCGCAACGGGGAAGAGTCTTCTATCTGGTACGTGACATGACACCGGATTTATGGGGACAGAATCTTATCTTTGTGGACTCAAATGTTGATTTTGGAACATTCCGTTTCATTTGTTACGCCAAGTACGTAGCACACAAACGTGCAAATGTTCGTGGTTTCGCTCAACTAGAAACACAGTACGTATGATTGATCACACACATTTGGAGGTATACACCACGTCCCGCGGAACGTTCAGATCCAACCCGTTCTACGGTTGCTGCGGGTCGATTGACACCCCCCCGTCCTCCCACGCACATACCTTGTAAAGATCCGCACGAACAAGCTTGCCGAAGGGGGTCCCGGCGGCCACCTTCCCCCCCCCGGACAGGTACCCGGGGCCCCTCACCCTGAACCCGTGGGACTCGCCGTTGTCCTCCCACGTGTCCTGGAACTGCGGGTTGCCCAGCGGAAGCGGCTCGTGCGTGTTCGCGGACTGTAGCCCCCCATCTCGTGCAGAAGCCACCGCTGCTCCGCCTTCCGTAGTAGCGGTGGCGGCAGGGGGCGGAGGGGGGCCGAACGCGGACGGCCTTTGGGCCGCGGCGGCCGCGGCGGCCATCGCCTTGCCACACCGCATCAATATTTACCGGCAACAGCAGCAGCAGCAGCAGCAGCAGCAGCAATACGTAGTTGCATGAAACAAAACCCAAACCCATTGCGCTCTCTGCATCATTGCCATGGGTTTAATTTTTCAAATCGCTCGCCGAACCGGAAACCATGGAGAATTTGATATTATCAACGACATTCCCGGCGCAGCAGCGAGAGCATCGTATAGGGGGTGCACGAAAATTGACCAATTTCCCTCGCCGTCCACACTCAAACTCCCTCCCTCCCTCCCTCCCTCCCTCTTTCTCTTCCTCGCCCTCATCTCCGAGCGGGGCTACCGAACCGTCCGGCGCACCCTGACGCGTAAACCGATGGCATTTACCGTTGCTCCTTCCTATTATAGCTCAACGGACGAAAGTTCTGCGTTCAGAACAACAGAATGTGATCCCCGCCAATGTGCGGCGCGACTCACCTCTCGGACGGGAGGCGGGGGCGGGGTCGCGACGGAGTCGGGGGCAAGGAGGGGCTCGGCGACCTTAAGCCTGAGGTCGCTGACGCGGACGCAGCCCAGGACCCGGTGGCCGCCCTCGAGGAAGAAGCCCACATCCAGCACGCACGGCTCCGTCAGACAGACACCCACCTGTCAGGCACAGGCACCGCGTGTTTTGGAGGGGAGTAAGGGCGGGGTGCTAGAGACGCGACCACCTTCGCGAGAAATTGAGTTTTCGAGGAAATAGAACAGGGAGGAGGTACGCAGACCCTATTCCCCAACCTTAACCCTACCCCAACTTCCCCGATTTCATATTTCATTCCAACATTTTTTTACTCAATAGCAAAACCTTGCGATGGCTAGCTAGTGTAGAGACGAGAGGACAAGGATTCCAAAACAACAGCACAAATTCACTGTCTGGCCGTAGTGCTGCCTCAAAAATATTTCAACGGGGCATAGATTTCCGTTTCCCGTGCGGGGCTTAAATTTCCGTCCAGCGTGGTAGGAAGCTGTTTCGAGGACGAGGGGTTTCGGTTGGATGATGTATTTTCTGATGACGGCGGCGATGGCCTTGGCGCTACGAGGTGGTGGATGGCGACGTCGGTGGTAGCGTAGGTGTTGTTGTTTCTGCTGAAAGGGGCTCGTATTTTTGGTTTTGTCGCCGGATTGTCTCCTCCATGCGGCCGGTGTTCTGCTCATGCCTTCCAAATAATACCATTTCTTAAAGTGCGGCTGAGTGTTTGTGCTTCATGCGTCTACTACACAACAACAATAATTCGACAACCGCAGCCGTGTTGTTTGGCCGCGCCCGTGTGGTCTTCTTACCACGCTCTCCGCAGCGACGGACGAGCCGACCTCAACGTCCGTCTCCATGTACAGGCTGCCTCGGAAGTACCGCTGGTTAAGCTTCCGCGATAGCACCTGCGTTATCGCCGACGGTCGACAACCCAGCAAACAGCGCACCAGAGACGCACCGGAATGGGGGATTCGTCGGTGTTAAGCACATCCAATAAGTCTAGCTAGATCTTGGAGCCCAGACGCTTGCGTTCAGCGCAAGGATTTCGGCACAAGGTTGCAGATGAAAAATGAAATGCGCGCAGCCCCAAACCTTCCCGAAGACGGTGCGCAATTTGGTGCGGAAAAAAAAGGCATGTCTCCAAACAACACGCCAAAAACGCTGGATATTGTGCCGCCGCCTTCAGAACAATTAAGTTTGAGACTCTGTGCGGAACGTGGGGGGCGATTGGAGTCGAGATAACCAAGATTTTCAAGAGAAACCGCTGCAAGCGAGCGTCGAGCTCGCCAAGATTTTCACTCATTTCCCGGCTATCTTCTCCAGCATGTGTGCGCAAATCGGCAAACGATGCGCGCGCGCAAGAAAGCACGCCTTCGTTTTTTCTCACTAAAAACCCCTTGACACGCCTTCCGGATATGTTCGTGCCAAGACTCATAAAAAAAGAGCTCGAAACTTTTACCCGATTGCACCACGGGAAAACCGCGATAGTCGACCCTTGAACACCCTCTTTTGGACGCTCGGATTTCCCATCTCGCCGTGTACAGTACCTGAGCGTTCCCGTCGTCGACCGCTTTTCGCACCGTCCAGCGGCCCTCGACTACAGAGGTCACGACCTGGCACCCGACCGTAGGACAGCGGTGGATGGGGCAAGGGTCAAGGTAACATGTATGCAGCCGTAACATACGAGAGAGGCGTCACACCAATTCTTGGCACAAGAAGACAAAAGAAAATGTGATCAGAGTACGGGCAGAGTGGATGGGACAAGGGTCAAGGTAACACACAGCCATAACATATGAGAGAGGCGTCACACCAACTCTTCTCACAAGAGGACAAAAGAAAGTGTGATGAGAGTACGAGCAGAGTGGATGGCACAAGGGTCAAGGTAACACACATCCATGATATAAGAGATGTTACATTACACACCAAATTGTTGCACAAGAAGACAAAAAAGAAAATGTGACAAAGAGTATGAGCAGAGTGGATGGGACAAGGGTCAAGGCAACACACAGCCATGATATAAGAGATGTTACACACCAAATTGGTGCTCAACAAGAACATGTGACAGCCAAGAACGTGCGGAGGACCAAAAATAGGGCGAGGGATGGGGCTGCGCGTCGTCGGCCCTGAGGTCATCGCCAGGCATCGCACAGCGAGAGCCGGGGTACCAATATTGTAGATGACGGCGTACATTGTCCTCACTATCTCCTCGCCACGCGGCCTTGCTGACGATGTGTAAGGTTGTGTATGTACAGACAATGCGTGTGTGTGTGTTTTTTTTTGTTTTTGTGTTTGTTTGGGGGCATTTTTTTCAGTTTTCAGTTTTGGGAACGCAATATCGTCACCCCCCCCCCCCCCTCGGATCATCAAGAGAGTCCATCGCCTTGAGAAGAAAACTAGCGGAAAGAGTGGCGGCGCGCTGGAGTCGTCTCGTCGAGAGCTTTCCGAAGACGCATCGTGTGGTTCGTAAATCCTCTTCCGTCGTGGAGTAACCGAGCTCTTAGAAATGGGTCCACGTAGTGGAACCACCTTATGTCACCCAAAATGGCGGTGCTGGACCCATCTCGTCGAGAGGTTTTTACGAGGACAGTACCGAAAAATCCAGACATCCTCTCTTTGTCGTGGAGTAATCGAGCTTCCAAAAATCGGGCCACGGGGACGTGACATCTAGGGTACTACACACCCCGGCATCTGCATGGCAAAAACGCGAGAGTGCCTCCCCCCTCTCACGCTCAGGCTTATCACCTTCAGGCTCATGTTCCGGAAGTCCTTGTCGGGGAACACTCCGCTCTCGCTCTCGTCCTCGTCGTCCGCCGAGAACCCGGGGACGCCGCGCGCTCTTTCCCCCCCGGCCACCGCCGCCTGCTCATGCGAGACGAAACCCGAGCCGTTGGAGCCCATGCGGTGGAATGGGAGGTCGATGTAGCGCATGAGGAGATCTCGCTCGAAGGCGGCCGGGGGAAGCGGCGGAGACGACGGCGGCGACGGCGATATTGGTGTCGCGGCTCCCTGCGACGCCAGGGATGCCGATCTTCGGGGAGACCTCGGCGGCTGCGGGGGTGGGGTGCAACGGGAGAAGTCCAAAGGGCTTGCGCCCGCGCCTGCAGCAGCGGTTCCGGGAGAGAGAGCGGGGGTGCCACAGCATGGATCATGTCATGTCAGTTGATGCTGTCCAGCGCGAGTGAAGGCGGGGCGACGAAAACACGAAACACACAGGCGGTTGACTATTCGGGGTCCGCAACGGCAGTAGATATTGGTTTGCGGTTTTCTAGTGTTGGGTTATTGCGTGACTGGGGAATCAGAAAACGGCCCTACCTGAAAACCTTTACCGGGCCAATCAACAGGGGCTATTTGGAAACATACCAACCCTATCGAGCTTCTCCCCGACTACCCAAAACGAAAGCAAACGAGCATCTCCCTACACTCGGATCGACTACAAGAACAAGACGGAGGTCGTCACCTCCCAGGCATTCCGCCGGCACGCCCCAGTATAAGACCACGGAGGCCGCGGAAGTGTTCTTTGTGAAGGACCGCGGCAGCTGCAGGTTAACCACGAAGAGGAACTTGAACCCGCCGGGCTGGGACACGAACACGGCGACGGCATCATCCACAAAAAGAGAGTACAGCACGAGCGCCCCGAGTCGGGATATTGACCCTTAGCAAGAGCGTTGGTGCGCCGTGGTCGCGACACGTCATCAGAGGAAGGACCGAGCCTGACCCCATGTCCCCATGACCCAGGACGTGCACGACCGTACGTACGTGCTACTGGGTTCGTTCATTGTTATCATGTTCGAGGTAACAACAAGAAGTGCATATTCTGACGCCTGCCTAGGACCAAGAATACGACTTTAACAATTTATTCGCATTTGTCAGCGTGTCTTGTACCGCCCACAACAAGACAGATATACCGCCTGCAACTACATAGCCGCACCACACGTGTGAGACAAAAGAACGAGCGAAGCACGCTCGCGCGCACACACACAGCCAGTCTCCTCACTCGCCCCCCTCCCCCGCTCAAGACCCCGCAGTCAGATCATGCCCCCTCCCCCCCCCTGATCGGCACGGGGCCCCCGAGGGTATTGTAGAAAAGCGTTATCTTGGCCCTTCGCCCGAAACGCTCGTCAAATTATTGGTCAGCGCGTAAAAGAAGCCCGTTCGATACTATTTAGACCAGCACACCCCCACAACGCCAACAAGCACACCTGAGAGGTGAGGTCTTTCACACGGGCCTGTGCCCGCCCCCCCGCCCTGCCGACGATGTGGTCCACACGGTGCAAATGATTGCCGGGCGGAACCTGCAGTTTCAACGGGGAAAGGAAGGGGTGGGGGTGTCCTGCTAAGGATAATACGGGGCGCGCGCTTCGTGTGGCTTTTCGTTTGAGTGCCCCTTACACGCGCACAGCGCTCTTCTTCACACGCGCCGGGGTGGGGCTCTGTCTCGACCCTCGGTTGAACTTGGGATAAACCGGCGCCGGAATCGTTCGGGCAAGAGCTTGAAACCGATCCAGCACCATATGCATATGATGACACCATTGACCAGTACAGCATACACCAAGAGACGGCTGCATACACTCACAAAGAACTGGGCTGCTTTGGGCGTTGGGGGAGTGCCAAGCAATTCAAATACCAAAGGGACGTGTCTTCAAGCACGAAACCAATAAAACAGTAGCAGAGAACAAGGGCAAAAAAAATATATATATATCTAGAAATACTTGCCTGGAACACGTCAACGTGCAGCAGCTTGAAGCCGCTTGCGTAGGGCCTGTGGCCTCGCTTGCTTCCCCCCTTGCGCTTCACGAGCGACACGAAGCGCTTCAGAGCTTCCCGTCGACGTGGAGACGAGGCACCATCCTTCCTCCTGGCCGAAGAGGACGAGGACGAGGGAGTGCCAGCGTGTTTCCCTGCGGACAAGTAGGCATATTGGGAAGCTCACTTGAACGGCCACATACACGGTGCGAGGTCGTCGGGGCGTCGCAATAAAGGCCGCGGGGAGGGGGTCGCGCATTGGGACGGGGCGGCAGGCACCGATTGTTCCCGCCGCGGCAATGTTAAACGGTCGCTCGCTCGCCGGGTGATGCGGCAGGCAACAAGGGCAACGTGTTGCTGGTGCTTGTCTGTGTGAAGACAAAAAAAAACGTAGACAAAAATACCAGCTAGCCAAAGGTCACGCGGAAGCCGCTGGTCAACAAAAACGCGTCACCAGTTTTCCGTCCATCACGCGGCCGCGGAGGAATGGTGTTTGCACTCAACAAGACCAACCGAGTAAGGTAACGCCGCGCGACACCCAACAACAACAAACCAAAGCCCCCCCCGGAGACCCTCAATCAAGCCAGGCTCCCGCTCGAATCAACGCCTGCATCCCCCCGTAACGCCGCAAAAACAAATGCTGAAACGGCCACCGTCGCTCACCGTTTGCGGAGTAATCACCACGCGGCGAAACTACCCGCGCGCCGGTAACCGTACCAGGAGGCGTGACAGGAAACGTCGGACTCGTCCCCGCACCGTTCCCGGAGACATCGGCCCCGCCCCCGTCACTACCCGCCGCCGCCCACGGCGGCGGGCGGGCACCCCTCCCCCCCCCGCCCCCGGCTGCGGCGCCCCCCATCCCTTCGTTGGAGGGTGGCCTCGAGAGAGTTGGCGACGTCGTGGTGCTCGCAGGGGACACGAATTGCGCCGATGATGACGATGATGACGATGATGATGTCGTTGCGGAGGCGCGGTTGGCGCGGCGAAGCCACTGGTTGTGCTCGTGTTTGGGCACTCTGAGGGCATGGCACTCTCCGGGGTCTCGGAACATGGTCTACGCATATACGAAAAAACAGGGAAGAGGGGAAAGAGAGGCGCGACGGGGTGGGCACACAGAAGTTTCGCTTGGGAGTTGCACGGCGGGGAAGAAATATGGGATAATGGGCATTAAGCGGGACGAGGTGGGCACACAGGAGAATTTGTGTTCTAACCGCCGACTGAAAAACGTCCCCTCCCCGCCGCTGCCCCTTTCGAAACCCCGAAAAACACACCCCGAGGGCCCGGTTTCCCCGGTGCCGGCCTTGTTCTCAATCAACCCAACAACACAACGCAACGCGACCCAGAACGGCACCCGACACGCGACCAAGAACGGCACCCGACGCACTGCACCAAACGAAGGAATAACCAAAACTTCACATCATCGAAAACGTTCGAGTTGTTGGATTCTGCTGAATAATAGTTTCGTTCGATCTATCTCGAACCGGACAGAACGCGTCACCGCCTGAGAACAAAACTAGAAGCTAACACAGGCACAGGTGTTCAGCTAAGAACCTACCAGTTTACCAACACATGCTGCTAGATATCGCTGTCGTTAGGATACCCCCATTTGGAAGAAGGAAATCGCGCCCCGGGCGAAACAAAGTACGCGAAATAGTATTGTGCCGTTTCGCCAAGCTTGCCTCGACTGCTGCACACTAGGCCCCCACCGGCGCCTACCTTCAGCTCGGGTCGAAGGCTAGGAATAACCCGAGCCTCCGCGCTGTCATCCCCCCCCCCCACCTCCTCCTCTGCGGGACCCCCCCCCGCTTCCGGGCACAACAAGCCACCGCTGCCAGCAGGTGCCGCCGCCGCCGCCGCCGAGATCGGCGACAATGGCTCGTGCACGGTCGACAGCACCGTCGGTGCCGTCCTCCTCCTCGACGTGGCATTGCTATTGGCGGCACCGCTAGCGGCAGCGCCAGCAGCAGCAGCAGTCCCGGCGGCGTTTGTGGCGATGGCCGGGTCCTGGCATGCCGGGAGGGAGCTCGAGGCGGCGGCGGTGGTGGTGGTGGTGGTGGCGGCGGCGGCGACGTTCTCGGCGGTTGTTGTGCGGGGGGCGTCCAGGAGGAATCGTCGGAGCTGCGCGAAGAAAATAGCGGCCACCGAGTTCGACAAAATATCGAGGCAGGAGGTTGGTGGGGGTATACTTTTTAACAAAAATGCAAGCCGTTGTGTAGTCGGAATGTAGGCCTCGCATCCCCTAAAAAGCCGGGACGGAGTTGGTAAAGGGCTTTTTTTCGCAGACCCAGACAGTTACCATCCTGGTGCTTGCTACGCCAAAACGGACGTTGGCATGGATGGCCAACCACTCGCCATCATCCTCCTCGCGAAGGCAACTCCCCCTCCCCCCCTCCCTCTCTCTCTTTCTCTCTCTGCCTCTCTCTCTCTCTCTGTCTCTGTCTCTCTGTCTCTCTCTTGCTCTCTCTCTCCCCCCCTTTCCCCCCCCCGCTCTCTCTCTTGCCTCCTCTCTCTTGACAGCCTCGGGATCCCGCAGGAGCCTCCGCAACCACGCCTCGAGCCTTTGCATCAGCAGCCCGAAGGGAACCGCCGGGGGGAGTTGCCACATCCGGGTGTCGCGGTCGCCCCCCTCGGCGGCCGGGCACCCGGCCTCCATGAGGGAAACCCTTTTCGTAGGGAGGCGCGCGAGAAAACGGTGTGTTACTGTACTATTAACAGCATGGCGCGAAACGAGGAGTGAGGGCGCCCAGCTCAGGCCGGTCTGGCTCGCTTCCAACGAACCAATCACTGCCTCGAAAAACATTACCATCACAGCAGTAAATATTGTCACGTAAAGCTCAAAAGCGTCCGTCACACTGGGCTTACTATGCGTGGTTGCACGGTGGAAAGACTTGCAAAAACCTGAGCAAGGATTTTCCCCCGGCTCTTATCTTGAACCTTGGCGTCAAAGAGAGTCTCTCCTAGCCCGAAGCATGGTTGAGCGGCGGTACGCTGAGAGCCGATAGAGCGCAAAGCGCCTGTACCGTAGGGAGGGGGGGACCGTACCTGAGAGCTACGAATTCCGTCAGCCGCCGCCAGGCCACCCATTCCCGCCGGCTAGTGGGCGCGGTAGCGCCGACTACGCCAGCCTGCTGGAAGCGAGAGCCACAACGAATAGAGTGTTTGGCGCGTGCGTTTGGCGGTACAAGGGCTTCCGGTGACCGCGTGCGGAAGAGGGAATCAAACACGGCGGCGAAGAAAAAGGACACAAAGTTCTACCCGATTGCGTATGGGAGGCATGGTGTCCACACGGGCAGCACCCTTGGGTGTGATATATTTTGCGGCACCCCCCCCTCCCCGACGCTCGTTCCAGGGAAACCATGCTAAGAACAAGGACACCCAAAAACATCGCTAGCAACAGCAACAGCAACAGCAACAGAAGCACCAGCAACAGAAGCAGGAGCAGCGGGGGAGGCCGCCGCCGTCGCCGGCGCCGGCGCCGGCGCCG